CGCGGCGCGCGCTGGACCTGCTGCCTCCAGGCGGAGCTCTCAGGTGAGGGGGCAGGGCGGGCTCAGGCTCCGCCCTCCCCACCTGCCAATCAGCTGTCTGGGCTCGCTGAGCAACATCAGGCCCCTCAAGGGTGGAATGCGGCTGATAACCGGCCTCCCTCCTACGGTTTTGTGAGGATTAAATGTGGGGTATGATCCTGTAAGCACCCACTTCGCACCAGGCATCTAGTGGTCCACAGACAGGCGTCAGGCCTGCTCTCAGGGAAGAAAAGCGAATAACCAGACACTTGTAATACAGCTTCCTAAGTGCCAAGACGGGGCTTTGGGACTCCAGAGGACGGGCAGGAGATCAAGGAGGGCTTTCTGGAGGAGGTGCTGCTTAGATGTGACCTGAGAAGAGTAGGAGTGGAGCAGCGAAGCTGGGTTCAGGGATGGGGTAAGGAAGGATGTTGCAGGCGAGCAAAGGCCTGGACTGGAGGCAGAGAGGGCAGGAAGGTTAAAAGGCTCCATGTGGCTGGTGCCTAGACTGTGGGAGGCTGGAGAGAGGTGAGGCCAGTGCTCTGCTGGGCGAGGGTGGAGGCAGAGGGGCTTGAAGTAGAGGCAGAAGGGGCAGGGGTTGGTGACAGCCTGCCTTGGGGGCTAATGGAGGGGCGGGTGAGAGGGGTTATGGATGACACTGTGTCCCCTCAGCTGCCGGTTGCAGCCACACACACTCGGCTGTCACCCTGGGAGACTGGAGTGACCCCCTGGATCCCGATGCTGAGACGCAGATGGTGTATCGGCAGCTGCTCCTGGGACGGGACCAGCTCAGGTGGGTGCCCCCCCCCCACCCACTTCACCCCCAGGACCAGCTGGGCCAGCTGCCCACTGAGGCCTCCCCTACTCATCTAGTCATTCTTTCCATGCGCATCAGCTGAGGGTGGGGCAGGGGGTGGGGCCAGCTCAAGGTGAGGGTGGGGAAGCACCCTCGGGTGGACCCTCATCCCTGGATCTTAGCATCTTCTAGTACCTGGGGCTCCAGAGACCGTGGCTGTGCCCCTTCCCCTTCCTGGTCACAGGGTCATTGTTATCCAGCGACAGACATTTGTTCCAACTCATTGCAGAGTGGGTGCTGCAGCTGGCCTTCGTGGGTTCAAATCCTGGCCTGGCCACATGCTGGCTGTGTGGTCTTGGGCAAGTTGCTTACCTTCTCTGTACCTTAGTTTCCTCTTTTGGAAACGACGGTTAGTAACAGTACCCACCTCATGGGGTTGTCCTGAGGATCAAATGAGCTAATACAGGTAGAGCCCTGTGTAGCTGCCGGGCCACATATAGATAGCTTTCGATAAATGGTAACTATTGTGATGCTGTGCAGCCTTAGGCAGGTTATTTACCTCTCTGTGCCTCAGTGATCATCAGTAAACGGAGGTAATAGGAAGCACCTACCTCAGATCCTTTTTTGTGGTAATTGAATAAGTTAACCCATTGAAGGGCCGAGAACAGTGTCTGGGACTCTATAGACCAGTGGTTCTGTGGTTCTCAACCTTATGGCCCTTTAAATACAGTTCCTCATGTTGTGACCCAACCATAAAATTATTTTCGTTGCTACTTCATAACTGTCATGTTGCTACTGTGATGAATCGTCATGTAAATATCTGATATGCAGGATGGTCTTAGGCGACCCCTGTGAAAGGGTCGTTTGACCGCCAAAGGGGTCGCGACCCACAGGTTGAGAACCGCTGCTGTAGACACTGGCTGTGATGAGGATGTGGGTGGTGCTGGTTAGTGAGAACCTGAACATCTCCTGCAACCAGCAGAGAATCCCTAAGGCAGGGCTCAGCCTTGTCTTTCTCCCTCTCAATTTCTAGGATGAAATTCCTGGAGGATTTCAACATGGATTCAAGTCCGGAGGCAGACATGGAGGACTCCGGTGCCATGGAAGGTAAGGGTCAAGTTAAGGCGGTCCCTTTCCTTGGCGTGCTCTGACACCTCCCACAACCTGCGAGTACATCCCTGAGACCTCCAAGCCCCTCTCCCGTATCCACCAGCAGGCCCAAGGCTGTGTGTGTGGGTTCTAGTCCCTTTAAGGATTCTCACGGCACCAGGCAAATCTGGAGCCCGAGAAAGCCACTGGGTGTGGGTTCTGGCAGCCTGCCCTGCCCTGGCTAAGCCCTTGGGGCCCCCTTGCCTCCCTCCCAGGGGCCTGTCCCGATGCCCTGGCTGGGCAGAGAGAAGCAGCGGCCCGCCTGCTGGAGGTGCTGGAGGACCTGGATCGAGCCCATGAGGAGTTCCAGCGGCAGGAGCAGAGGAAGGCGGTCTCGGGTCCCCGCGGGCCCTGAGGAAATGCCACAGGCAGCCTGGGAGAAGAATGAGGAGCCACTGGGCCTGTTTCAGTGCACCCTGGCCCAGGAGTCTCCTTGCGGCTGTCCTGTACCTTCTTCATCGATGCTGAGGCTTCTGGAGACCTCCTAGTTCCACGTGCTCTGAGCCCAAAGCCTGGCGCGTGGAGGCAGGGGCCAGCCTCGCACTGAAGGAGTCTCACTCTCTGAGTTGACTGGGTTGAGGCAGACTGGAGTGGCTGGGATAAGGAACCTGACTCATTTGGCTCAGCCTGAGGTCTCTGCTTCACGGGACCGGCCTCTACCCACCCCACTGAGGCTGCTGGATACAGCTGTACCTGAATCCCTCATGCCCATGTGGCCTTGTTGCCCCAGGCAAGCACTAAACGGGCTCAGCCCTTCCTGTTTTCACGTCTGCCAATCACTGTACCCGCACTGATCCTCCTGAGCCGTGCCCTGGGCGGACGGTCCTAACCACAAGCTTCCAGAATCAGGTGCCTGAGGAAGAACAGGCTGGGAGCGCAAAGTGCAAGGCCCAGGACAGACCCTGGGAGTCTGGGACACCTTCAGCCAGGCTCCTTTCCCCCTTTGAGCCTCAGTTTACCCTGTATAAAACGAGGAGGGAGTGACTTAGAAATAGCTCAGGAACCAGGGAGGAGTTTCTCAGAGTGTGGCCCCCAGCCTCCCCTCCCCGCGGGGTGTCTGCTAGAAATGCAGCTCCCTGGGCTGCACCGGGATCTACTGCATCACAACCTGAAGGAGTGTGGGTGGGAGGAGTCAGGATTCTTAACAAGCTGCTCAGGTGACCTGGATGATCATGGGATTTGAGGATCACGGGGCTGGGCGATTTTACCTATTAGAGTTTGGGGTGAGAGCCTGTTGAAGAATGAATCCCAGAGGATAAAATGTTTGGAAACACCCAACGGGCAGACCTAATAGGGCCTCCAAGGACTCTGGTTTTGTGTGACTATAGGGTGGGGCAGAAACTGAGCCTACCTGAATTGGGAGGTGGAGCAGGATGCAGCGCTATCCCATGTGTGGCCAGCAGGGGTCGCTTGGAGCCGCAGCACCCACAACAGCCACCTGGGCATTCCTGGCTGTTGCAAACGCCCGATCAGAAGCTTGTTGCAGATCCTGGGATTGGCTCTTCCCTCGGTAGACAGAACCTGGCCCTCCTCCTCCAGGGCAGAGACTGGGGTTCGGAGGTACCAAGGAGCTGGTCATGCGTCTCCCAGCTTTCTCCCATACTTTCCCAGAGGCGCTGAGCTCCCAGCCGAGCCCCTCATTCCTAGTAATTGTACCAGGGAGCACTGTGTGCATTGCTTGGTGCCCCTGCCCGAGAACAAACCTTAACCTCTATCTTCTCGGGTAGGTCTGCCTCTGCTACCATCACACCCTCTGCCCCCGGACAAGAGAATTATGGGGACCCTGCCTCGCCAGCTGCCCAAGGCCAAGAGGGGCAACGGTCCTAGGGTCGTCATTTGTTGCAAGGTCCCCAGGAACAGAGCTGCCCCCCGCCCTCCTTCCTTGGCAGGAAAAGACGGGGCGAGGAGGAGAAAGACCGTTTATTTCTCCACCCACAGTGGGACTGGTAGGTTTTCAAAAGAGCGATCACTGGCGTCCCTTTAATTCTTGGCTGACTTCCACCGTGGCAGCCAATCAACAGAGGCGGAGCTGGTGAGTTGCCTGGGCAACAGGCCCCTGGTTGGTGGAGACCATCAGCCACCCCACTGCCCACTTCCAAGTAAGGGAAATGGACGCTCTGCTCTCGTCTGCTTTTCCAGACCCGCTGGCTTAAGCCAGGCCTCCTCGCCTCGCTCCCGAAGCCAGAAGCCCCGGCCTTTGGGTCTCGACATTGGAAACGAACGACTTGGTGGAGAGGATGGGGTGGGAGGAAAGGAGAACAGCGCCTTTATCTGGGACAGACATAGGCCTGGGGATGGGAAGGGCGGAGGAGGAGGTCAGGGTCCTAGAGGATGAGGAGACACGAGCACAAATGATACCTCTAGGCCCCCTCTCTCTGGCTGGCCCCTTTGCAGAACTGCTCAGGGCAGAGATGGTGACACAGACGGGGTCAGCAGAGCTCCCCAAGGGTCCCCTTCTCCCCCAGGAGCCCCAGCAGGTCCCTACGTGCTTGACCGGAATCCTCCTGCTGGCAGACAAGCTTGTACGGACGGAGGTGACAGACACACACGGGATCCACATGGAGTGTCACAGGGGTCTTCTGTCTCTTCCCCCCCAGATTGGGGGCAAGTAGAGGCACGTGGGTGTGCGTGCATGTGTTCAACAGGACACTGTTTGTGTGAGGGGTGGGAGGGAGGTCGCTGTGGTCTCTGGTGCTCTCCCTGCGACCCTCCCAGAGTTGGAGCTGGCCGGCCTGCCGTCTTCCCATCATTCCCAGTGGCCACCAGCCAAATGTCCAGAGCGCTTCTGGCTTCTTCCACAGGCTCCTCCCCAGCCCTGAACCTGGGCCACCAGGAAGACAGACCTGGTGGAGGGAGGCCTGTGCTGGGCCAGGGGCAAAGCAGGAGGGACCGTGGGCAGCCTGGGGCCTCAGGCTTTGGCCGTGGCCTCCGACACGCCCTGGGCTGTGAGCTCGGCCAGCACGTTGTCTAGGTAGCTCGCGTCCGGGTAGCCGTGGCCCGTGAGGTTGGATCCGAACTCGGTCTTGTGGTGGATCTCGTTCCACACCACGGTGTCCGACTCGCCCGTGGTGTTGGACGTGCCGATGGTGAAGATGAGCCTCCGCTCCCAGGCGGTGATGAGCAGTCGCAACACCTGCAGAGCCGTGTGGTGGGCGGGGTCATAGGCAGCCCCGCCCACGGCCCCCTCTAGCCCCGCCTCCCCTCCCTGCCACACTGTGGCTCCAGGAGGCCCCCTGAGCCCAGCAGGAGGCCCTGTGGCTGCTGGCTTGGCAGTTTCCTTCCCTGGACTGACTCATTCCAAGTTATCTGCCTGTTTCTTCTGGGGTGAAGGGAGGGCCTCAAAGCGATGGCCCTCTGCAGCTTGGTTTGGACCCCACACTATGTGACTTCGTTGGCAATATTTAAAAACCTGCAGATTTCACATGAAAATCAGCATTTCTGGCTTCTCCCGAAAAATAATAAGTAGAAGCAGACACAACACCTATAATGTGGTGGTGAAAAGCCTGGACTGCTTGGGTTCAAATACAGGCTCCACCACTTACTGGCTGTGTGACCTTGGGCAAGTTACTTGCCCTCTCTGAGGCTGTTTCTTTATCCGTAACATGGAGCCAAGACCTTGACCTCTGCAGTGCCTGGCAGGGCTAGACGCACACTAGGTGGTCCCGGGCCTGCTGGTGTGGGAGGAGTGTGAGAGCAGGCCCTGGCCCACAGCCCTGCAGCCTCACGACACCCACCTTCCGGCCTTTCTCGTTGTTGGGCAGATAGCAGTGGCGCGGGAAGCCTCTGGCGGTGAACTTCTTGCCTGGATTGGGGTGCTCAGGGCCCTGCGGGAAGGAGCAGCAGGGCTGGAACCACAGACAGGAGTGGGGGGCCTCTGGAGGGGTCGGAGGAGTTGGGGTCAGGGGTCCGAGGGGGCTCACCTGGATGCCTGTGGGGATGTCATAGACAATGCGGATGGTCTGGGTGTCCGCGAAGCCAGGCAGCGAGTGGGGGATGAGGTGGAACTCCATCTTCCCGGGGGGCTGAGTGCCCGTCTTCTCCCCGTAGATGGCCTTGCAGGTGGGGCACTGCAGGCTGCCGTCCTGCAGCAGGGGAGGCTGGGTGAGGTCCCCGAGGCCCCGGCTCCACGGGGCTCCCTCGCCAGCCCCCCACGCACGGTCCCCCAGCCCACCTTGTTGCCGTTGGAGTACATGGCCACCAGGCACAGCAGGTGGTACATGTGGCCACAGCGG